CTAGCCCGGTGGTTTTTCCTACTCTCTTCAGTTTAAGCTTGAATTTTGTTATGAGGAGCTGATGATCAGAGCCACAATCAGCTCCAGGTCTTGTTTTTGCTGACTGTATAGAGCTTCTCCATCTTTGGCTGCAGAGAATATAATCAATCTGATTTCGATATTGCCCATCTGGTGATTTCCATGTGTAGAGTCACCTCTTGTGTTGTTGGAAAAGAGTGTTTGTGATGACCAGCTTGTTCTCTTGACAAAACTCTATTAGCCTTTGCCCTGCTTCATTTTGAACTCCAAGGCCAAACTTCCCTGTTGTTCCTTTTATCTCTTGACTCCCTACTTTAGTATTCCAGTCCTCTATAATGAGAAGAACATCTTTCTTTGGTGTCAGTTCTAGAAGGCATTGTAAGTCTTCATAGAATTGGTCAATTTCAGCCTCTTCAGCATTAGTGGTTGGTGAATAAACTTGGATTACTGTAATAAAGAAAGGTCTGCTTTGGATTCGTATTGAAATCATTCTATAATTTTTGAGATTGTATCCAAGTACAGCTTTTCCCACTGTTTTGTTGACTATGAAGGCTACTCCATTTCTTCTATGGGATTCTTGCCCACAATAGTAGATATGATAATCATCTGAGCTGAATTCGCCCATTCCTGTCCATTTTAGTTCACTGTCGCCCAGGATGTCAATGTTTATTCTTGCCATCTCCTGTTTGACCACATCCAGCTTACCAAGGTACATAGATCTTACATTCCAGGTTCCTATGCAGTATTTTTCTTTGCAGCATTGGATTTTCCTTTCACCTCCACACATGTCCGCAGCTGAGCGTCCTTTCAGCTGTGATCCAACCACTTCATTAGCTCTAGAGCTACTTGTACGTGTCCTCCACTCTTCCTCAGTAGGATGTTGGATGCCTTCCAACCTGAGGGTCCCATCTTCCAGCGTCATATCTTTTAGCCTTTTATTTCTTTTCATGGAGTTTTCTTGGCAAAGATACTGGAGTGGCTTGCCAGTTCCTGCTCCAGGTAGATCACGTTTAGTCAGAACTCTCCACTATGACCTGTCCGTCTTGGGTGTCCCTGCACGGCATAGCCCATAGCTTCTCTGAATTACTCAAGCCCCTTCGCCATGACAAGACAGCAATGCATGAAGGAGTGGATATGTATTTGGAGTCGTCAAAGGGAGCCTGAAGGGCCAAACTGGAATCCAGAATGGTCCTCGTTAGATACATATATACCCAGTTTCTCCAGTAATCTCACTCCAAATGAAAAATTCCATACCAGTGGAAGAAATGTATAAACTGCAACATTACAGTTCTGAATAAAGAAATCAGCAGCACTATGGCTTTATTATAGTGTGGACTGGTTATGGCTCTGAGGAATGGAAAACGTCCCCCGTATCTTCTCCTGAGATCCTTGTCTTCTTGGAGACCTGAGGAAGATGCCATCTTCAGCATTTTGATTACCTATTGCATCAGCTCAGAACTAACCCCAAAGTGTCTGTTTGTGTTTGCAGAAGAAAATTTGGAATTACCTGACATTTCTGAAGGAAAAAAGAAAAGAAATGTTGTCTTGTAAACAGAGAAAGGAGAATGAAAGCCAAATGCTGTTGGTGGGTACTTTGTTTTGTTTCACTTTTTCGAAAGTGCTAGTTGATGTATCCTGTATCTGAAATACTAGTCTGTTACGTTTCACAGAAAGATGCCAGCTCCATAGCACTAAAATATGCTAAAAAGTACATCCACTGTAAGAACAACATTTGGTTAGAGATTGGATAATTCTTTTTAAAAAACTAATCTGTTCTTTTATTAATTTGTTTGAGCAGGTCCAGCCTTTCTGTTAGCCAGAGTGAGGTCATCACTGCCTTGCTTCTACAAGCAGAAAACATACTGCTGTGAACAGCTGCCTGCCTATTCCTGCTCCACACAATTCCCCAAAATATCTGAGATAATCTATCAACAAAAGAACTGAGTGTGGTTGTATGGAAGAGCTGAATCGGGATGATTTGGCTTTGCTGTGATTTGATTTGCAGCCTGTATGGCAAACAGTGGCCACACAGGAGGTGCAAATTGATTTGGGACTTCCCTGTTCTTGCTGGTTGTGATGCAAATCCCATTCCGTCCCACTGCCAACCCCTTCCTTCCTTCCTTCCTTCCTTCCTTCCTTCCTTCCTTCCTTCCTTCCTTCCTTCCTTCCGTCCGTCCGTCCGTCCGTCCGTCCGTCCGTCCGTCCGTCCGTCCGTCCGTCCGTCCTGGTACTGGTTCTGCTGATTTATTTTATTTATTTAATTAATTTAATTTATATGCCGCCCACACTACCCAGAGGTCTCTGGGCGGCTTACAACAATTACAATTCAATACAGTAAAAGATAAAATAATTAAAATACAATTAAAATACAATTAAAATTGCCATCGGACCCACAGCTAATATTATTTC